GCTCAAAATGCGTATAGATAACACGGCACTTGACTTGAAAGTGACTTTTGCATCTATGCGCGATTAGACTAAAGAGAACGCTCTGTATGTGAATGTCCTGATGCACACACTCACTCACTCATTCATTCCATTCCAATGACGCACACACACGACGCGCAGAAAGATGCGCAACAGTATCGTGTGGCCAGACAGCGCGCCGGAATGGAATTCTCTTTCGCACTTGAACAACAACACAAACCATTATGCCAAAATCTCCGACTACGGAAGCCTGTCAACTCAAAGGCGCAGTGCTTTCTTGCAATTGGGTCGGTTCATGTTCACACCGTGAACGAACTGTACCAGAGTTCACCTCTTCAGCTGGGTCTGGGTTCGGTTGTTTGGTCCGCACCTGAGTTCGATTGCTGTATTCACACCTGCCCAAAAGGTCCGCACCAAAGGGGGAAACAAACTAGAGTTCGATTCAATCGAACCAAACAAGGCAGGCGTGAATACACCCTTAGACTCTCACACATGAATTATGTTGAATATCTGTCAGCTGTTAAATTTAACTACACAATTAGATAATACCAGCTTAGCTCAACCAGTGACCAAGCAATGCTTCAAGTCTGTGTGTAAAAAGAGCATTAGCAATTACAGAAAACACACTTCAGCAAAACATCATCAGCTCAAAGTGTCTGAATAATATTTGCTCCCAAATGTCACTGGTAGTCACTGTATGAAGAATATTTGGGTATAATATGTCACAGCTTATTTTATTATCCTATGCTCACTTCCATAAATGAACTATAGTGTCCTGCACACACTAGTAAAAAATTATATCTGGCAGAATAATTTTTGGTTTGACTGTATGTTCAATAACCATGTAACCGCAAACAATGGTCAGTTTGAGCTCTCGACTCTTCACAGTTCTCCCTGTGAGAAAAGATCTGGACTTGAGCGACCAGTTGGGAGCTGTAGCTGAAGGCTAACCAGGTGTTGTGAAAGATAACACACCTTTTTATTATTTTTCCTTGCCCAGGGCCTACAACAGGTGTATGATCGACTTGACCTCACCGTTGAAGAATCCTTCTGTATCCCAACATTATTATGAAAACAAAACCGGTGTCTATGGTGATTTAGAAATCTTACACGTCTTTTCGTTTTACACTTGGGTGTCTCCATTTTCCTTGTCCGCTGGCGTCTCTCTAAACAGAAATATCCAAAACATTTACTCTATCCATAAAAATCTCATTTTCTGGGAAATGGATCCAAATTAAGGGGTCAAAATAATAAAGTTTTTTCTGACCCCAGATATTGGTTTTTCTTTTAACTAAATTCATTTAAACCATTTCTTAGAAAGCAAGACCTGTTTTGGCTCCTAGTAAGGGATGCGTGATATATCGGTCACCATATCGGTATCAGCCGATATACGATCTTTTTTAACTTTAGCGTTATCGGCCCGATAAGAATGTGGCTGATATATTAAAGCCGATATATAATAGATTATTTTCTTCAGCTGAGACACTTCAGATGCGCACTGTTCAACATGACGGTTTTAAATTGCTTGAAATTTGATTGGAATCACTTCAATAAGTGCACAAGTCTATCATATAGGTTATAAAATCATAATGAGAACATCATTATAGTTATGTGTAATGGACTTGGATTTTAATTGTGAGACTCTTGTTTTTGTAATCAGGCACTCAAAAATGATATAATAATTTGGATTTAGATTAATCGGCCAACATATTATCGGCTTTCAAATATAAATAATTATCGGTATCGACCAAAATTGGTGCATCCCTAATCCTAGTGTCTTTATTCAAGAATGTTTCGATATTTCTACTGGAAAAGAAGCCAAAAAATGTTGAGGAAGATGTTGAGCTTTTTCCATGAGGGGAAAAGAAAAAAGTTTCCATTGGCTGTTGTAGGCGTAACAATGCCTTCGCACCTGGTATTCCAGGACTTTTCCACCACGCCTTCCACCCTGATCTCTAGCGGGACGCCAAGCCTGTGCAAACTCATAAATACCTTTGCCTGGAGGGCGGCAGAACGTCTTTACACCTCTGAAAGTAAACCCTGCTCTCCTCCAAACCCCAATCCTTCGCCCTGACCTGCTGCCCACCCCAGGCTGGAAAACCACCACCGTTCCTGTCCAAACCTTCTGCCAGAACCTTGATATCTGATCTTGTGTCTGAAGTGTGTGTTTTGGAGGGGCTGGTTGTGTAACAGTGCCATCTGGATCTAGTGTGTGTGCGCGCTCAAGTCTTGGCGGAGACTCTTTTGGGATTGGCACGCAGGGTTCTGTGGAAACGGATGAGTCAGTGGATGATGGGCATATCAAAGATTCTTCTTCTAGTCATGTGGTTTGTGACGTATATAGCAAATAAGTCAGTGCTGAGTGTTTGGTTCACTTTTGGCCCATTTTGACTCGTGCAAAGGTAAACGGGAGAAAGTTTGTCCCATTAAGGGGTTTGTAAAGCCAAAAATTGTCGTCATCCATTTTGTCGTTCCAAACACTTAAGACCTTTGTTCATCATCGAAACACAGATTGAGAAAGTTGTAATGCAAACTGAGAGGTTTCTGTCCATCGAAAGTCTATTCACTCAAAACTTAGTGAGGTTCATAAAGGCATCATAAAATAAATCCAAGTTGGGTTTCATTTAGGCTTTTATACACTTAAGAATATTGATCAAATTATCTTGATTTAAGATTTCCAAAGTTTTCTCAATTTAAATTTTTTGAATAAAATAAAAAATACATTAAAGCATCCATCCATCCACTCATCCATTCATCCCAGACATCCATCCATCCACTCATCGTGTGGTGCGGCAGTGGCTCAGTGGTTCATGTAGGTTGTCTACAAACCGGAAGGTTGGTGGTTCAATCCCTGGTTCCACCTGACCAAGTGTCGAGGTGTCCATGAGCAAGACACCTAACCCCAGCTGCTGGATGGCGCCTTGGATGGCCTTGACGAGCTGGATGGCGCCTTGCATGGCTGACACCGCCGTCGGCGTATGAATGAGTGAGTGAATGGGTGAATGTGAGGCAATATGTAAAGCGCTTTGGTGGCCATTGGGTCTGTGAAAGCGCTATATAAATGCAGTCAATTTACCATCCACCCACTAACTAACCCACCATCCCAGACATCCTCCCATCCATCTACTCATCCATCCATCCACCCACTAACTAACCCACCTTCCTAGACATCCACTCATCCATCCATCCCAGACATCCATCCATCCATTCATCCCAGACATCCATCCACCCACCCACTAACTCACCCATCCATCCCAGACATCCATCCATCCCAGACATCCATCCACCCTTCCCAGACATCCATCCACCCTTCCCAGACATCCATCCACCCATCCATCCATCCACCCACCCACTAACTCATCCATCCATCCCAGACATCCATCCACCCTTCCCAGACATCCATCCACTCATCCATCCATCCCAGACATCCATCCACCCACCCACTAACTCATCCATCCATCCACTCATCCATCCACCCACTCACCCACTCATCCATCCATCCACTCATCCATCCACTCATCCATCCACTCATCCATGCATCCACTCATCCATCCACCCACTCATCCATCCATCCATCCATCGTCCATCATAAAACTCTTTATAGTCTGGTAAGTCGCACCAAGATTTTATTGATCGATTGATGTTAAGTTGTTTGGCAACCTTAACTTGAGGCTAATTACTTAAACCTGAATTGGATAGATCTCAGTGTGACATCTTCCGCAGTTTGCTCTTGGCATCCGCGTGCCCTACACCAGTGAGTGTGGGATCCTGCCCGGCTCATTACAGGGCTCACAGGGGTTGGATTTGGTTTGTATTCGTCCTCATGTTGCCAGGATCGTGCTGACAGAGCCAAGTTTTCTGGTTTGTGCATGTCGCATTAAGAGTTCTTGAGTGTAAAACTCTTAGCAGCAGCTGTGGAAGTGGTCAGCGGGATTTCATGTTCTTTGAATCTTGTAAAGAAGTCTTTCGTTTTATTGTCTGTACTCCAGTTCTGCCACTCAACCTGGGGTTTCTGCCAACTGAATTATCGTCATCATAACCATGATGCCCAGCATTGATTCGTTCCCTCCAAACGCACACCTTCTCGATTGCATTAGCAACACTGGCGACACTCCAGCATGTTGTTCCAGTAAATACTAACCATGATGCCAGACAGACCTGGATCAACACATGTGCAATCTGAATCATGTGAACTGGTTTATTGTTGTAGTTGTACATAGTGATGCTGTCTGGACTGTCCAGCTTTGTCAAAGAGTTTGATTACTGGAAAAACTTTGCTGTTGGCCGTCACACTGACTTTTTTGGGACATAACTTTCTTTCTGTTAGAACATTGAGACCGTGAGTTCAGGTCTTCACATCGATCTGATTTTCAAATGATGATATCGGGACGTACACTTAAACCAAAAATTATTCAGACACCAGATATCATTTTTGTTTTTTCACTAGTGTGTGCAGGACACTATAGTTCATTTATGTAAGTGAGGAGAGCAAAATAAAGTAAACTGTGACATATTATACCCAAATACTCTTCATACAGTGACTACCAGTGACATTTACACACATTTGGGACAAAAAATGACTCCTCCACTTTGAGCTGATCATGTTTTGCTGAAGTGTGTTTTCTGTAATTGCTAATGCTCTTTTTACACACAGACTGAACAACATGAAGCATTGCTTGGTCACTGGTTGAGCTAAACTGGTATTCTCTAATTGTGTAGTTAAATTTAACAGCTGACAGATATTCAACATAATGTGTGAGAGTCTAACAGAAGGACGGACAAAACCAGTAAAATATCCACTGATCTGAGAACTGAGTTCTGCTCATGTTTATAAACTATAGCGGATAACCTGTGATAATGTGGGAAATGTTGAAGGTGTCTGAACACATTGGGTTTGGCCGTATATTGCAGTATGAGGTTTAGATGGTGTTTTGGGAACCATAACTCAATTGTGAAATATCTGTCTGGTTTTAATCCTGCAGGGAAGGACGATTCCACTGGCATCTGAAGATCCATTTTCCTCAAAGCAATGCGGTTTATTCAGAGAGGTATGAAACGCCCTTCTCTTCTGTTTTGGTATTTTGTAAAGTATTTAGGTGGTGGTTTGGTTGATGACGTTGTGTGGTGTGGTGTGGTGTGGTGTGGTGTGTAATGTACAATATAATGTCTCCGGATTTGGGAAAAGTAGGGCTGTACATATAATCAAATTGTGATATGGATTGGTAATTTTTTATTTGATTACATTTTAAATGATTCATTAAATTGTTAATGTTTTATACTTTCATTTAATTACCCCGTTTTCTGATTATACATTTGAATTATATCCTAAATCCAGAAAAAGAACATTTCATAGGGCCTATTACTGTAACAAAATTTATGAAACTATTAAATTGTTCTATGAATTCAATTGATTGGACGTGGTTTTTGATTATTAACCTAATTAAACCATTAGAAGGAAATCCAGAATTTTAAAATCGAAAACACAGAATTGGGGGGAAAATAAAACGGAATTTATGAAAAAAATGTGTTTTTTTTAAAGTAATTGTTAATATGTATTGGTTTTGTAATGATTTGTTAAATTGCATTGGTTTCGTAATTGATTAGACATGCATTTTGATTACTAAAATGCAATTTAACCATTAATGGAATCCAGAGACATTAAACCGGGGAAAAAGGACAAGCCAATAGTTAGTAGCATTATTAAAGGCATAGTTCAGCCAAAAATAAAAAATTCTGTAAGTATTCACTTTCTCGACCATCAGAATGACCATTTTATCATTCCAAATCCATGAAACGAGAGAGTTTCAATTCATGTCACGATCCAGGAAACACTGTTTTGGCCACTTTAAACTGTTATATGGACAAGAGCTGCATGATGTTTCGTCAAAATCATGCTGGTCAGGGTGTGTAAATATTGGCAGAATTTCATTTGAAGGCAAGCTATTTCTTTTAATTGTCAGTTTTATTTGTTTTCCCCTTCCTCAGGTTTCCTGATGACAAACGGCTCGATCAGATTCTCAACGAATACATTCATCCTTCAGAATCAGATCCGGTCAAACGACAAAAGTACGTCAAACATCCCATCAATGCCACATTTATCTGACTTTAAGTGTACAGGTTCACAGTGCTGCACGATCAATGGTGTTTTAATCATCAACACGATTTGTGCTTGTCTCGGTTAATTAAGAATGATAATTTGCTTATTCAGAAACATTGGTTAATAAAGTGAGATTAAGTGCATGAAGTATATTTGTATTATTTAACATATTGAATTATTGCAGGTTTGTGTAATCTGAGTTTGCTTTTTACTGTTTTTATCTGCACTCTGCATGTCGTCTCTGCACTGACGGTTTCACTCAACATGCTGTAATTAATCATATTAACAGCGTTCGTCCAATGTGCTTAAAGTGCTTGAATTTGACTTTTTTAACTGCAAGTCCTGGAAAACCCCTGAAAACAGCCATATTTATGAAAAGTGCTTGAATTATTATTATTATTGAAAGACAATATATGTGAAATTAGTGTTTAATGTTATTGATAAAACAATCTTTTCACGCAATATTAACGCTACAACCCGTCTGGTGTAGACATAGAGGCATTTCGCATGACTATAAGTGTGATATTGCTCATTAATATCCAAGTATATGATGCATCTTTCATTCATCAGGTCAATCATATATTCATGAGAATAAATCAGTTATAAGGAAAGCGATATCTTTATCATAGTATCCTTTCAATGGTTAAAGTTTCCACAGTCATTGCTTGTTCTGCACTTTATTTGTTCCATTTTGTTTTATTAGTTTATTTTTGTTTGTCTATTTACCTTTTTTAGAATTTGAAAGATAATAAAGATATTGTTTGATAAGTGAGATCTCTGATTATAGTCTACCAAAAAGTAGAGCGTGGAAAGTCATGGAGTTTGATTTGACAGTGTGTGTACGAACCCTGATTGCTTTACATTCAGCCGTTGAGGCGTGTAAGCGAGCTCAGACTGCGCGTGTGTAGACGGCGAGTCTTGAACGGTGGTTTAACATTGATCTGGGTGGACGTCGACTCTCTCGCCTCGGCACAGGTGAGGAGATGCCGCTTTAAAACACGCAGGTCTCAAGTTGACATAGATCTCAACAGACATCTGGCATTTTCCCATTTCTTGACGCCTGCGTCTCATTTGTGATGTAATCGCGATGACTTTACAGCTGAGATGTGGCGTGAGCGCAGCATTGTCAGTCAGTGAGATTGCGTCTGGCTTTTTCTGAGTTTATGGATGACAGACTGCCAGGGAAAAGTGGGACAGATTAATGTTCTTAACTTCTCCACATAATGATGAAAGTGGCGATTGTTTCTTCATGGAACGGTTTTAGAGCCATTTGGGTCAGCACATTACTATTATTATGACGTCCGCCCTTTTATTCAGTCCACGAATTCCGGCTCGGGCGTAAATGCAGAAATCAAGCTGTGGTTTGGAGTTAGAAATAAACTCTTTACACTCTGATAATAGGCCACCAAATCAACACTAGAATAGAGTTGGGCGTCTTTTGGATGACTTGCTCATGATTCAAGGCATCTTTCAGGGAGGGTTTGATCGTTTTGTAAATTGTGAAAGCCAACGCTGACGTCCAACAGTTTTACCCCAGAGATCAGTGCCGAATCATGTTATTCCATAACAGTAGCTCATTAAACATGTGCAGACGAGTCGCTTAAAGTGGTGGAATATCATCTTTAAGGAGTGAAGTTAACGTATTAATACACGTCCCTGCTGTTGTTCAGCTCTGGTTTCTCATGGTCTTCTCTGGATGGAGTTAAAATAGTCTCAAAATGAATTTATTTAAAATATAGGATTCACAAATGTGTAAACTAAGATTATATATTTGCTAGGACTGGGTTATAAATATAGATTTCACGATTTGAATCGATTCTCTTTCGATGAATCCCAGGAATCGATGTTTTAGTCTACGCTGTTTTCAGTCTACAGGTGAAGCTCGAGAAACTAGAATATCGTGCAAAAGTTAACTTATTTCAGTAATTCAACTTAAAAGGTGAAACTAATATATTATATAGACTCATTACATGCAAAGTGAGATATTTCAAGCCTTTATTTGTTATAATTTTGATGATTATGGCTTACAGCTTATGAAAACCCCAAAGTCAGAATATTGTGAAAAGGTTTTCATAAGCTGTAAGCCATAATCATCAAAATTATAACAAATAAAGGCTTGAAATATCTCACTTTGCATGTAATGAGTCTATATAATATATTAGTTTCACCTTTTAAGTTGAATTACTGAAATAAATTAACTTTTGCACCATATTCTAATGTTTCGAGATTTTACCAGTATAAATGAACACAACTTTGTAGCGCCTCTCATCCAATAAATCATAATTGTTACTTCAGATACAAAACAAAGTCTCAGCTTTCAAATTCTGTCAACTTTATAATGATTAATACTGATTTGACGCTCTTTAATGTGTGCTGATAGATCGCTCTAGAACCGATCATCTCTTCATCTTGACTACTCGTTACAGCAGCAAATAAACATGATGAACATCAGAAGGAATGTTGAAAGATTCACAACAACTTCCTGAAATCAGTCACGTCTCGTGCAATCCATCAATCAGTGTTTCACCCGTGGAAAGACGTCAGTAAAACAGCTTGAGGACGATGTCACGTTACGTTTACCTCAGGAAAGCCACTCAACGACCATAAACTCGATAGTTAGCTAGCAGTCTTGCGTAGCCATGTGACTTCATCGCAGCTTTCATTGGCCAAGAACCGCCCAATCACAGCTCGTGAACATGTTAAGTCGATGTCCCTATGATAACAGATCGCCGTGCTTCTAATATATGATTCAATCAAGAACGTTGGAGGAATGGAGCCGTGAACTTCACATGCTGAAACTCCAGCGTTGAGTTGATCCTAATAAGCGGCCAGTGTCACGGTTGTAAACGCGACGCGTTCTTTTTCCATGAGGGGGTTTGGCTTCACGACGGCTTTGTTTCCAGCAGAGCGTTAAAGAACGCGACACACACGTCTACAGGAAGTCCTCTAGATTTCAAGCAATCGGATTACGAGTCGAAGTGTTTCCCGTCCTGTGTGGCGTATGCGTCTGCTAGTTCGCTCGAAATATCGGATCATAAGCTTTAGGGCTGCAACAACTAATCGATAAAATCGATAATAATCGATTATGAAAATCGTTGTCAACGAATGTCATTATCGATTAGTTGGTCTGCTTACGTCACGGGGAGCGTTTACTGGTGATTGGTGGAAACAGGCCAATCAGGATGCTCTCTGTCTTACACGCGCTTCATGAGGCACACACGCAAGGTCTCTCTCCCTCCGTTGCTCTGCCGCGCGCTCGCGCTACACGGTTTGGAGCACAGTCTCTTCTGTCTCGCATGCGCGCTCAAATCCCGGGAGTTTGAACTAATTTGCGAGCCGCTACAGGGCTCCAGACTAACTTTTTGCCTTGGTTGCACTGGTGCGCCTAACTTTTTTATTTAGGTGCACCAGCACAAAATTTAGGTGCACTAAAATTTTTCCTCGTCTCGCGTTGCCTTTAACGCCACAATTTCAAGGTCACCTTTTTATCACGCTCCATATACATTCATATATATTATGTAAATGCTTTTAAACAAGAATAATAATAATACATTTTTTTTGAAGCACAATTATACTGTATATAAAAATGTTAATCTTTAAAAAAAAAAAAACATTTAAAGTGCTGTTTTTACATTGTTCAAGTTAGGGCAGGGTATTGACACAAATTTCACAATTCGATTCAATATTGATTATTTTGGATATCAGGTACAATACATGGCAAATTTTCTCAAGGAAAACAAATTAACTAATGCTGTAAACTGGGAGTCAGTTGTAGCCGACTATGCTTCATTAGCCTACTATAATATTGAAGGTAAAAAATTGTACACAAACACTTAAATTACACTTTTATTTATTTTTATAATAATAAAGTTATATGAAATATAAACATTTAAATGGTGGCTGCATAAAAACTTGCCAGATTTTTTCAAACAACATGCATTAAATATTGAAAAACATAAAAAAAATTATAATGAATATGCAATATGGTGCATATATTTGGCAAAATGCTCCTCCCTAGAGTTAATTTTTCTAGCTAGCTAACGAGTTTATGGTCACTGGATATGTTTTTTTCTGAGGTAAATGTGACGTTACATGACATTGTTTACAAGCGTTTTACTGACGTCTTTCCACGGTTGAAACACTGATTGAGCGATTCCATGTGAAAGATACGGATTTCGATAAATTGTACTCTATCTTTTAGCACACTTTCAGACGTTCATGTTTATTTCGCGCTGTAACTGGTATTATTAAGGCGGAAGAGAAGATCATGTGCGCTCCGCGCTGCTGCTTCTCTGGGGCTGAGCTGAGCCAGAGCGATCTCACGCCACAGCGTCAAAACACTATTTATGTTTTTGAATTTCATAAGAAAATGGACCTAATTTGAAATCTGAGACTTTGTTTCATATCAATAGTAACAAAGCACAAAGATTGTTGCGATTTATTGGATGGGATGCTCGCTACAAGAATCGATTAAAATCGAGAAATCAATATTTTTTACCTAGTTCAAGTAGCCTACATTTTTAAAAGTTTCTTCGTCGTCTGTTTTCTTGCGTTTATTTAGCTGATGCTGCTGATTGCCGTAACTGATTCTCTGGTGCTCACGTCGCAATTTATTTCAATCACACAGACAGCACGGAGCATTTTAGTCCTACAGGAAAATCTGAACCACAGCCAATCAGAGGCAAAGACCAGCCCAATCTCTATCTCTGATTGGTTTAGACCACGATATGATCCAACCATGCGTGCAAGGAGAACAAAAGACTCGTTTGTTGAGAGGCAACGGATGCGATCATGCACTGGAACATGCACTGGTGCGACCTAGGAAAAAATTTAGTCGCACCCTTACAAATTTTGGTCGCATATGCGACCAAATTGGTCGCACTCTAGAGCCCTGCGCTATCAATATGCGGGTGACTTCCAGAACTTCCGGGAGACTTGGGATGTCTGTACTTTGCGTCTCGAGCATCAGGTTGCGCAATCAGTTCGCTCGCAACATAAGTGATGGATTAAAATAGTGCTACCGCAGAAATATTAAATTAAAACGGTCTTTACAAAGCGAAGCACTAAATATAAAGGCAGTTAATAACAGCAGCAGTAAATTATTGTTTTTTAGTCACTGTAGCCTACTCAGTGGTTTTCAGCGAATGTTTGTGCACTAATGCATCATTTTTCCTGTCTTTTTAATCAAGCCTGTTAGCTTGCTGCGTACCTCCACTCCGCTCTCTTTATATAGCATTTGTCTACTATTAAGTTTTAATTGTTTTTCAAACGCGATCTACTGCGGCTCTGTTCACACGCTTGTTTTCAGTCTTTCTATATTTATTTTTACAAATATCCTTATAATTCAATTAATTTTAAATAAAAATTAAATGAATTATATATTTGAGATGTTTTTAGTTTATATCTTCACATCTGAACAACATGTCTGTAAATTTGTTTTAACAAAAATTGTGTTAAAACAATATGTTGGATAAATGTTTTTTTTTTTTACAATAATCATGGTTGTCAACTTGCCATCAGCAATTATCATTAAAAACAATGCAAATATTGATATTTGTAAAACTCAATGTGTGGCTTTTGCACTTTTTAAAGTACACTTTTACACTTAAATATCCTGATTTAGGGTTTTAGGTAACACTTTATTTTACGGTGTCCTTGTTACATATGTTACATGTACTTACTGTAGTAATAACAGTAAATTATGCATAATTACATGCAACTAACCCTCAACCTAATCCTACCCTATTCCTATAGTAAGTACATGTAGTTACTTAATATTACTCTGTACTTAAATATATAATTACACTGTAACAAGGACACCTTAAAATAAAGTGTAACCGGGTTTTATTTAGTCATAATAAACAAAAAATCTAATTGAATTTTTATCCGATTAATCGAAAAAATAATCTTCCGATTAATCGATTATCAAAATAATCGTTAGTTGCAGCCCTAATAAGCTTGTGAATCGAAATAAAATCGAATCGTTAAGTTTGTTTCGATATCTTGCCTTAAATATTTGCAATTTACAAACTCTTAATCAATCAGGGTTATTATAGCAAACTAAAACCATTAAAAAAATTATTTCCGTTACTTGAAATAAAATAAAATATACATATATATTATCTAGTTGCCAAAGCAACATTTTTCATTTGATGTAACGTATTTCATTTCATTTGAATTGATGTAAAACTTCATAAAACTAGGCCTAAATTCTAAAATAAAAACAATAAACAACAATTTAAAATTCACAAAATACAGAATTTGCTGATTTTTTTGGATTTTTATAATGAAGTATAAAATGATGTTGTTATGAACACTAATGCAAATTTATGCTTCTTGAGTCAAACTTGAAAACTCGCATCTGATTGGCTGAGAAGAATGTGAT